CACAGGCAAAGCTGATGGTGCCAGTGTGCACACCACGATGGGGAGGTCCTTCACCCCAGAGGGGGGTGTGCTGCAGAAAGCTGTGTGTTCACACAGCTCCTCTGGCTTTGCCACCCATGACCTGTGGCATCAGAGGGAAGGAGGACATGGTGCCTGGGTTGGTGTCCCCATCGTGCACTGTCCCAGGACAGGGACAGATGATGATGTGGGGCCATGGCTGGAGCAGAGCACCGTGTGCGAAGCACTACTTGGCAAGCACCATGCTGCAGTCACCCCAGTGGGGACCCCACAGGCGCCTGCACTGCTGGTCTCTGCCCTTGGTGCACACATGGTGCAGAATGGAACCCAGGTGCTCACCCAGGGCTCTGTGCATCATATATCCCCTCCTTGCCCCCGCAGGATGTGGTCCTGGCTCTGATGGGTGGGAGAGGGGCCGGGGCCCTGGCAGTGGGTGACTTCTGACACCTCCTCTCTCCCTTCAGCACTGCTGTACAAACCCATCGACCGGGTGACGCGGAGCACCCTTGTCCTGCATGTGAGTGTGACACCAGTCCTGGGACGGGGGGCAGTGCCCCATTGCTCCTGGGGACCTGCAGCCATGGGGAGTGCTGCTGAGGGGTCTCTGGGGTGGGTGTTGCAGGCAGGGCAGTGCCTTTGGCCATTCATCTGTGCCTGTTCCCTTCCAGGACCTCCTCAAGCACACCCCAGCTGATCACCCCGACTACCCGCTGCTCCAGGACGCCCTCCGCATCTCGCAGAACTTCCTCTCCAGCATCAATGAGGACATTGATCCCCGGAGGACAGCGGTCACCACTCCCAAGGGGGAGGTAAGCCAGCGGGGTGAGCAGTGCTGGGGCACAGGGTGAGGGCTGAGCCCTCTGCCAGCCCCTGGCTAGTATCTCCACCTTGAGGAGCTCAATGGTGCTTGGCCAGGGGATGGAGAGTTTCCTCTAGGTGCAGTCCCAGGTGCAAGTTCAGGGCTCTACCAGGTCCTTGCTGCTTGCTGGCACCCTACTGAGCATATGGGACTCCAAATAGTACCCAGAGGACATGGACCTTCCCGTGCTCCAATGGCCGAGCCATGGAGGGGAACAGAAGCATGTATCCCCTGCAGTTTATTGGCCTTTGCTCCCTGCCCACTCTCACCCCAGCCCTGCTGCCCCACAGACCCGGCAGCTTGTCAAGGATGGCTTCTTGGTGGAGCTGTCAGAGGGCTCGAGGAAGCTGCGGCACGTCTTCCTTTTCACCGACGTGCTGCTGTGTGCCAAGCTGAAGAAGACGGCGGTGGGGTAAGGAGGGCGCCGGGCACGGGGGGGATGTCACAACCCCCTGTCCTTCAGTGGGCTGGGGGATGTGCTGGGGAGGGGGTCAGGCATCACTCAGCACCCACCCCCCGGCTGCAGGAAACACCAGCAGTATGACTGCAAGTGGTACGTGCCCCTGGCCGACCTGGTGTTCCCTTCGCCGGAGGAGTCGGAGCACTGCCCGCAGGTCCATGTCATCCCCGACCATGAGCTGGAGGACATGAAGATGAAGATCTCGGCCATCAAAAGTGAGGTGCAGAAGGAGGTGAGAGGAGGGTGCAGGTGCTTGGGGAAGTGTGGGACCTGCTGCTGGGGTGGGTGCCTTGCTCTGGGTCAGGGATGGGACATGGGGGTGCCTGTGAAAGCTCCTGGTTTCCCCCTGCCTATAGAAAGCCAACAAGGGGCAGAGCCGGGCCATCGACCGCCTCAAGAAGAAGATGTTTGAGAATGAATTCTGGCTGCTCCTCAACTCACCTGCCATTCCCTTCCGCATCCACAACCGCAACGGGAAGGTGAGGAGGGCGGGCTGGGAGCCAGGCTTGGTGCTACCTGTGCACAGCCTGCTGCATCGTCCTCTGTCTTACAGAGCTACCTCTTCCTGCTCTCATCTGACTATGAGAGGTCTGAGTGGAGGGAGGCCATTCAGAGACTGCAGAAAAAGGGTAAGTTTGGGGCTGTTGATGTCCTCTAGGGGATCCTACCCCATGCCAGGGGCCCCAGGGAGGTCCCACAGGATGGCAGTCTCTGCTCCCCATGGCCAGCACTGGCTGCATCCCTCTGAAGCTCCCCTCCTGTCCTCTCCCAGACCTCCAAGCCTTTGTCCTGAGCTCGGTGGAGCTGCAGGTGCTCACGGGATCCTGCTTCAAGCTACGCACTGTCCACAACATCCCGGTCACCAGCAATAAGGATGGTGAGTGTCTGCTGGGCTGGCGGGCACCATCTCCAGGTGGTGGTGGGGAGGAGCTGTGGGGTCTGCTTGGGCTTGGGTACCCGGGCTGTGCAGGGGACAGCCACCCACCAGGTGGCACTGCTGGAGCAGAATCTGGCTCCCTGGCAGAGCAATCCTGGCTGGAACATGGGAATACTTTGGGATGCTCCCCAGCATCCCCATGGGCTGGCCAGGACCACGGCGTCACCAGAGTGAGACCCACTGGGAACCTCCCTCAGGGCTATCCAGGAGCTCGGGATGTCTATCAGGGATGTTCAGCAGTGGGGGATACATGTCCCTTTCCAGACCTTAGGGATGAACACTGGGGTGTCACCACAGACACCTAGAGCTTGCTATGGCAAAGGCTGCCTGGGAGACGCCAGCCCACACACTGGCCCCTGGCCATGGGAGGTGGCAGCTGAGCCCTGACACAGCCTCTGCTCTCCCCACCACAGATGATGAGTCCCCCGGGCTCTATGGGTTCCTGCACGTCATTGTCCACTCCGCCAAGGGCTTTAAGCAGTCTGCCAGTAAGTGTGGGTGCCCACCCTTTAGCTCGGGGGTGCCGGTGTGGTCAGAAGAGCTGGGGTCCAGCATGTGGCCCCGCTCTGCCCACAGTAGTCCCGAGGGAGCTGGTGGGGATGTTCCTGGAGTGCTGAGTGGTGTGTGCTCCCCCAGACCTTTACTGCACGCTGGAGGTGGACTCCTTCGGCTACTTCGTCAGCAAAGCCAAGACCAGGGTTTTCCGGGACACCACCGAGCCACAGTGGAATGAGGTGAGAGGAGGGTGGGATGCAAGGAGGGGACTGTATCCCCCTTTCCCTTCCAGCCCCAGTTTTGAAGGTGCTTTGGGTTGCTGGGGCTGAGCCATCCTCCCTCTGCATCCCAGGAGTTTGAGATCGAGCTGGAGGGCTCCCAGTCCCTGCGCATCCTCTGCTATGAGAAGTGCTACGACAAGACCAAGCTCAACAAGGACAACAATGAAATTGTGGACAAGATCATGGGCAAAGGGCAGATTCAGGTATGCACTGGGGCTTTTGGGCATCTTCTCACCTAACAATGTACCTCTTAAGGTGCCTGGGCTGGGAAGGTTGTTTTGGACTGATGCCTGGAATGAGAGATGCTCTGCATCGTGGGCAGGCAGCTCTGCTTTTGGGAAAGGTGTATAGGGATTGTGGCTCAGGGTTGAAGGCAGTGAGTTGGATGGGCATCAGGCATGTGCGTGATGATCCCAGGGCAGGTGGAACAAAGCAAGAGGGGGGTCCTGTGGGGGTGACAAAGGCAGTGGCCACCCTCCAGACATGGGTCCAGCCCCAGCTGGTCTGGAAACATTTCTGTTCTGCTGCACACCATGGGGCTGCAGGGGAGGGGGTTGGCCCCTGCCCCAGGGGGGTCTCTGTGTGTCCAGCCCCCCATCCCTCCCCACCAGCCATGGCTGTCCCCTTCTGCCACCATCTGCCTCCCCTGCATCTCCATCAGCTGCTGTTATGGCAACGGGGGTTTCCAGGGCAACGGCTGATCTGCCTCTGACTGGCGGTTGCCAGGCAGGGGGATGGAGGCCTGGGCTGCCCTGAGGTGCTGGACCAGGTGAGCTGGACCAGGAAGGTAGCAGCCCCCAGAGCCAGTGTCCCTGCAGCACCCACCTTGGCCAGGCTGTAGGGATGGTTTGGGATGGGGGTACTTCTGTGTGTTCCTGGTGGGGACACCGGGTCCAGCTGCCTTCCGCTGGGACAGTGTCACGCCTGGGACACAGGGCTCTAGCCAAGGCCACTTCAAAGGGCCCAGTGCGGCTGCAGGCTCCGTGGGAAAGCAGCTGAGGGCAGGTCCCGCGGGAGCGGGGAGCAGCACGGAAACACTGCTGGGAAGGGGACACTGCAGGGGGACAGCTCTGCACTGGGATGAGAGGTGGGCTTGGCTTCACCAGTGGCTTGTTCATACCCAAAATCACTGGTCTGTTGCCCACTCCACGGGGAAGCAAGTGGTGTGAGGGTGGCATTGGGCCAAGGGGAGGGCTGGGGCAGGGCTGGGGCTTGATGCCCCTGGGGATCAGTCCAGCTGCACGCTCGGAAATAGCCTGGGTCAACAAACATGAGTCATGCTGGGAGAAACAGGGGTTGGGACAGGGACAGCACAGCTCGTCCCTGCTGTGTACAAGTCATGGGGAAGAAAAGAGGAGAGAGGAGGCCCTGGGGCTGCTTACCCCAAGGCTGGTTGGAGCAGTGTCAGGTTGGGGTTGTCCTAATGTCACCCAGAGACACAGTTTGGCCCCTGCTCTGGGAGTGGGGTGGGTGGCAGGGTGGGGATGGGCAGCATGGCTATGGGCAGGATGAGCAGTGCTGCTCGTGGGCCTGTGGGTTATGGCCAAGCCCCTTTGCCCTGAGTTGTTCAGGCAGAGATGCTGCCCTGGCTGGTCCCTGGGCTCGTCGTGACCTGCTGCTGGTTCCAGTTAGCAGCAGAAGCGGGAGACATGGAGAACTGACACCAGCAGCTCAGCAAAGGCCCGTGGTGTGGGGGGAGCTGCCAGGATGGCTGAACCCACCCTGCAGCCAGTGCTGTGCTCACTGCCCAGCTCTAATCTGATGGCCCAGGCATGTGGGTCAGCCACGAAAGCAGCTTAAGCAGCATCATGGACTTGTGGAGTGGGTTAGAGTGCAAGGGGATGCTGCAGCCCCTCTGTGGGGAGCAGCATCCTAAGGCAACCTCCTAAGGCTGCAGAGGTGCCATGGGTGGGATTCACATCCTGTTGACACAGAGGATGTGGATGGGTCCATGGAGGGGCCAAGTTTGGCCCCAGCCCCCAGA